AGTTCTTCCCTTCTTCTGGGTACATGTCTTGGCCATCCCTGGCATCATAATAGCTATTTATTCTTTTTTGTTTACTCTTTTTTGGGGATCTGAGTGACTTCACTGGGTACCTGCTTGCCTCCTGGGTGTCAAGTTTCAGGTCCCACTTCCTTCCACATTAACGTGGTCATAGTGAGGTTCTGCTTCTCATCTTGAGATTGAGTCTTGGATTCTACCTCTAGAAACAGATCAGAGCAACCATGATGAAAAGCAGGATGAAAAACTTTTTCTTCAGGGGCTATCTGTAGTTCCTCCTCTTATGGGGATCAGGACTAGAGCAACTGAGTTGTGCAATGAGAGGGGGATGAATTTTATGATGGTTGGGGAGCTGGGCTGCATTACTTCCTCCTCTGTCATCCCATCTCATCCCTTGATGGGGAATATTTGTAGGCCGCTTATTGGACTGCTCATACAAGATAAACTGAAGCCATCAAAATAGTTATTAGTAAGACTTGTGGCTATTGAATTGATTCCAAGTCTGACTTGTGCCTATGCTCGCATCATGTTCCACAGTTATTCCCTTCCACATCATAACTTTCTCCATCACAGTTTTGACATATCACAGGTCAGCATAAGAAAGTAAATGGGAATTTGGGGGCAGTTTTGTGGAAGCCACAGATGACACTCAAAGGCCAGCAGGCCACACACAACAAGTTTAGAAACTCAGAAATGCATTTATATATATATATATTTTATTGCATAATATCAATATATTTTATCCGTTAATACCATTATAATTTAGACTTCTTCTCTGGTACAAAGGGAGGACCAAAATTTTTTACATGGATTTTCCAGTGGGGGCACCACACCACTAAACCCCATGTTGTGGAAGGGATAGCTGTACTTTGAATTATTCTTACTTGTGTAATTCATTTACTTATGTTCATGTGACATACCCTCCCTTTCCATGGACTATAAGCTTTTTAAAGGGAATGTATTTGTTCTTCACATCTGTGTCCCCAACACTCAGAATGGTGCTCTGGACAGACAATAAATTATTTGTTGAATTGAATAAATATGAACTTATACAAATTAAAACTGTTCATACATACATATATATGTGTATGTATGTATGCATACGCAGATAGATAGATAGATAGATAGATAGATAGATAGATAGATAGATAGACAGACAGATAGATGAGTAGTGGTAAGTATTAGAGAAGTAGGCTCAACAGAGGGTGGTAGGACTTTTCTTAAGACATCAATTGTTTCCTTCATTGAAAGGGGCATCCCCTCATTGGCTTACCACAAGCCTGACCTTCCTATCCTTCAAATAGCATGGAGATATATCGAATTAGCTGGCAATTCTAGAACCAAACTTCATTCAAAATTAAAATAGGATTAGAAGAAACTAGGCCCAAAGAACCTATATAATAAGCTCAGTCAGTGATTCTCAGATCACAGGTAACCCCTTTCTCCTTTTCCCACAGAAAATGGTGTGGTCCTTGGACACCTATTTTTTCTTTAATGCTCTTCAGTGTAGCTACCTAACACACACACATATGCATACATACATACATGTATATGTATATATACACATATATAAAACATATACATGTAAACATATAAAACAGATATTTGCAAGGCCATCTGAAATAGAAAAATTCTAGAACAAATAATACTTCTGATCTATCCCTGCCATTTATTCCTACGTGCCAAGCACTGTGCTAAGAACTAAGAATACAAATTTTTGTTGTTCATCCTTCCTTCTGGAAGAGGACCAATGACATCACAAGGGTGATGTACTGACTTGCTTGTGAACTGGATTTAAGTGAGGCAGAGCTGTGCAAAGCCGCCAGCCTCCCTCTCTTCTGTAGAGCCATCAAAGTCCAGTGGCAGGATAAAAATCAAGATGACTGGTGATGGCCCAGGATGCTGTGGATGACCTTGGCCTTAATACAAATAGAAAATCAAGAAAGTTCCTGTTCTCAAACAACTCACATTCTAACTTAGGGTGACAACACATATACAGCAAATGCACGGGCCTAGCGGTCCTAGGAGTTCTGTGGTACACCCAAAGGCAAGACCTATGGGTCTTTAGCTTGCTCTATTGGGAGGGGGTGTCCCGATAGGATCTAGTTTGGCAGGGTTCCATATGGTATCATTGGAGGAAGGGATCTCAAGGTAGTTCTGGTTTCAGATCTCCATGGTGGTCTCCAGGTGGGTGGAGCTTGGACTGGGGCAGTTGATGTGATATCAGATAATTATGTATTCTGCTCTTTGAAAAAATGTATTAAAAACTGAAGAGTAGAGAAATTTTTTTCCTTCTTGTTTTTTCTCTTGCAATTTGTTTTGGCAAGGATAATTATATGTTGTTGGGGCTTTTTCTCTTTCCCTTTCTCAGAGGGTACTTCCCCACCTTACTCATTCAATTTTTCTCAGAACTTTAGCATGCTTTTTTTTTTTTGATAGCTGAGGATCTCATAGATTTTCTTCTTTTCTTTGCCTAAGTAGGAGCTTCTATGCACCTTCCAAGAATGGTCCAGTGAAAACTTAGGAATGCCATCTTTTATTTCTCTTTCCCAGGAGTGCTTTTTCTGCAAGTTGTAGCCTCCATTTTTGTCCACAATAGTCCATCTCTCCTCAAGGTATGACTTTTCCCTCTCATGATTGTTAGGCCTATTAATCCACAAATTGACTTTTCTGCCTGACTGTGGTGTTTAGGAGTTATTCTTAAAAGTTATTAATGCTAAGTTACTCATGCAAAATAGTTAACTAATTGAGCCAGTTCTCATTATGATGAAGAATGATTTGCATGATGTATTTGAATCAAAATATAACCAGTATAATCAATGAATATTTAATTATGTATGGTTAATCAGTTTACACTTGTATTCGAAGGACTTATAAGAGTATGAGTTGTTGACTACAATCTGCCAAGACACACTACTGCCCAAACTATGTCCATTATACTCTTGGACAATGTGTAAAAAAACTCTTGTTCATAGGAGTATTTCTTTTAGAAGTAGGTTTTTAAAATCAATATCTTTCATTTCTATATCACCTATATTTCTTTCTATATCTCTCCTGACTCCCTCCAAGAAAGCCATCCTTTAACAGAAATAATTTTTTTAAAAGATGAAGAAGAGAAATCAACAAAAAGACTCTACGTGCAAAAAAAAAAATCTGACATTATATGTAATGTTCCACATCTGTGGACCCCCACCTCTACAGAGGAGTTAGGGTAGGTGTCGTCTCATAAACATCTTTTCTTTATGGCCAATCTTGGTCCTTAAAATTCTGCGACATTCAGTTTTGATTAATTTCCTGTTGTCCTGACCATTTCAATCATTGTAGCTATTGTGTGTTGTTTCCCTGGTTCTGCTTATTTCATTCTTCATGAGCTCATGTAAGTATTTCCAGACTTCATCTTGTTTGTCCTTTCTTACACCACAGCCATAGTCCCTTACATCTATGTCTTACAGTTTGCTTAGCCATTTCCCAATTGATGGGTCACAAAGAGGGCTTCTATGAATATTTTGTCATACGGAGTCTTTCAATTTGTCATTTGACCTTCTTGGGATAGGTACCAACAGTGGCATCTATGGGTCAAAGGACACAGACATTTTAGTTATTTTCTTCCCATAATTTCAAATTGTTTTCCAGAATTGTTGGATTTATTTGTAGCTCCACCAACCATGCATCTATGCCCACCTTTCCATAACCCTTCCAACACTGACCAATCTCAATTTCTGTCATTTTTTTTTTGCCAATTTTCTAGATTTGAGGTGAAACCTCAGGGTTGTTTTGGTTTGCATTTCTCTTATCATTAACACTTTGGAGTGTTCTTTTTCTTTGGCTGTTAACAGTTTGCAATTCTTTTAAAAACTCTGTTCACATCCTTTGACCATTTATCTATTGGGAAATTGCTTTTGGTCTTCTATATTTTTCTCCATTGCCTACATATCTTAGATAGTGGACCCTTACCACAAATGTTTGATCCAAAGACTTTTTCACTCAGTTGGTTGCTTCCATTCTTATTCCCAGATTCATTAACTTTGTTTCTACAAAAGCCTTTCAATTTCATGTAATCAAATGATCTATTTTACATTTTATATTTTTATATCTATATCAAATATTTATATATGTATGCCTCTATCCCTTGTTTGGCCAAGAATTTACTCTCATCCATTTCTGTGAAAAAGCACACGATCCACTCCACTTCTATTTTTTTTTAAAGGCACAGTTAAATCTTTGATATTCAGGTCATGTACCCATTTTGAATTTACTTTGGAATATTCTGTTGTTATTAAGTCTTTTCTGACTCTTTGTGATCCCATGTAGGTTTTTCTTGGGAAAGATATTGGAGTGGTTTTCTATTTCCTTTTCCAGCCCATTTTACAGATGAGGAAACTGAGGCAAACAGGGTTAAGAGACTTGCCCAGAGACACACAGCAAGTAAGTGTCTGAGGCGGGATTTGAACTCAAGAAGATGACTCTCCTGATCAGCCAAATTTTTGTCAGCCTGCCTTCTAGGTTTCCCAGAAAGTCTTGCCAAAAACGGTATTCTTTTCTAGGTAATTTATGTTTTCTGAATACTGGTTGATTGAGTTTCATGAGGGAGAGAATGGGCAACAATAATTAATTAAGCACCTAGTATGTGCTTAATACACTGTGCTAAGTACTGTACAAATAAGGTGCTATTATTATACTCATTTATAGCAGAGAAAACTGAAGTGCAAACAGAGGTTAAGTGGCTTGCCAAGGGTCACGCAGCTAGTAAATATCTGAGACTGGATTTGAACTCAGGTCTTCCTGATTCCAAGGCCCAGCACTTTATCTGTTGTGCAAACTGGGGTATGTTCAAGAAAGTCTCAAAGACTCTGGTATCTAGTAGCACAAAGGGGGCAAAAATTTGAATTCTTGCTCTAGGACATGCAGATGTATGACCTAGAACACTAATTTAAATTCAGTGCCACCTCTATTCCCCCTGCTTAACTGACCTACCTTGTACTTACTTTTCGTATTCTGTCGTTTTCCAGGATTAAAAGTCTCAGTTTTTGTTCTGTTTCATAGATATCTTTTTCTGAAACGTACATGAAGTTCAGATGTTTTTTCATTCTTAACATTTCCTCATTTCGGCCTTTCTTCAATAAATTCTTCACTTTTTCCTGTTCATACATAGGCCCACAATTACTTTTTCTTATAGTTTGAAAAGAGATACAGGCATAGGTAACTGAAGACTATGCAGAAGCAAAAAAAAAAAAATCTGATTCATCAAATGAAAATTTAATTTATAAGGACAAAAGAAAAAAATTCCTCAGGAAGATTCCCTGTGTTACTTGAAGGGAAAAATTATAAATGGCTATGTTTTGTGGGTAGGGGAATAGGTAGCAAGGTATAATAGAGAGAGCTGTCCTAGGAGTCAGGTAGATCTGCATTTGAGCCCTTCCTCTGACACATACTCATCCTCTGCAAATCATTCAGCCTCACAGTGTTCAGGGGAACTGTCTCAAATATTCAGCTGCAGAGTAAGTGCTCCTTTGAATCACTAGAGACAGTTTCTTCATTGGGAGGTCCCCATGCCAATGAGATCATAGGTGTGGTCCAAAAAAGTATTTTTAAAGTCATAAATAATATTCTAATGATCATTTTGGACATGGGTATGTCAATCAAATACACTGATTTTATATTAATAGCTTTTTTTGGTCTACCTTTGAAGTCAGCCCCATCCATGTGCCTCTTGGTAACATTGTAGATCATTATTTATAATCTTGAGAGAAAAGGAAACCACTTCTCTCTCCATACTGTGTTTTAATTTTTTCTAGCTGTGGCTTTTTCTAATGGAAAGAGAGAAATTTGGAATTTTTGAGACCAAGAGAGCATAAGTCACCTTCCTGAAGTTGTAGTATCAACAATTTAGAGGCCTTTGACTGCAGCGCTCTCATTTTCCTGATTCTGAGTCTGAAAGAGATTAAATGACTTACCCAGGGTCACACAACTAAGTGATGTTTGAGGCAGGATTTGAACTTGGGTCTACTCCTACTCCAAGCCCAGTACTCAATCTACTTTGGACATTAAGTTGCCTAAGTCCATAGCTGGGAAGAGGAAATCTTGTGACTCCCAATTCAGTCCTATTGCCTCTACACTAAGCCACCCACAGGTGACATGCAACTGTATGGGTTCTTAAGCCAGTTGATAAGCAACAGGCAATCAGTACAGTGTAGTCTATCTCAAAATGCTGGAGTTAAGTGGGATACAGGGAAGGTGTGCTGGATAACTCATCTGAGCACGAAAGTACCTGCCCCTCTCAATCTGCTCCCTTGTTGAATCTTTCAGTTGTGTCTGACTTCTCGCATATATACATATATGTATGTGTGTGTGTGTATGTATGTATGTATATGTATTTATGTATATGTGTGTATGTATGTATATATATGTATATAAATGTGATACTATCATTGTATAAAAATAGTAGAATAACATCCTACTTATTTGGAGGTCAGTCTTTTTTGATAGCACCAACACAGAGACCTTAATAGGAAGTGGAAAAAGGCCTTTCTGTTCCCAAAATAATTCCCACAAATATCTCTTCATTAAAGTCAAACACTTAATTCCTTATCCTGTTACCCAGAGCTTTACTGATTCCTATGTAACAAATATTTTTTAATAAGTGTAAATGGTAATGTCCCTTGAGGAGGGGTTACATAAGCTTAGAATAGAGAAGCAATGTAATTTAGGGCATCAAAAATTGGCCTCAGAATCAAAAAGACTCTGCCACTTATTGGCTGTGTGACCCTAGCTAGGCAAATCATTTAAAGTCTTCAAGCCAAGACCTTTAAGATAATATGTTAAAGCGCAGGTGACAATCTGCTTTTGTAAAGAAAGTTTTCTCAACTACAATTCATCTGAATGAAATTACAGATTCAGTATAAAAATGAAAAACAGAAAATGAACAATGGCAACCCAAACCAATTGAAAACTTGGTTATCTGGGTTTCAGGCTCATATTATATAAGAAACAACAAATTGAAGGCCCTAAGTGGTGTAGTGGATAGAATGCCTGGCTTGGAGTCAGGAAGACTCATCTCTGTTAGTTCAAATCTAGCCTTACTAACAGTGAGACCTCAATAAAATGAGCTGGAGAAAGAAACAGTAAAGAACTACAGTTTCATTTTGTTTTGCTTTGTCTTTTTGCCAAGAAAACCCCAAATGGGGTCATGAAGAGTAAGGCACACTGAAACAACAGCGAGAAAGATCCTGGAAGGTATGCTTTTGGAGACAGATATGATGACGTTAGGAGAAGTGACATCTGACAACCCGACCACAAGTGAGGAGACAGGAAGACTAAAAAGTCTTGCTGTTTAGGACAGTAATAAGTATTCATAATGAGAGTCTCAATTTATCAAGAAATAATTAGACTGTATTCATTATTCTCCATTCTGAAAGGTTGTAAAGGGACAATACGATTTAGAAATATTTCTTATTTTAAAAAAAGCTTCAGTACTTCAAGTGGCAAAACAGTTATTTGGAAATTCACTTTTGTGGAGTATTTCATTCCCTGATGATGTTGGAAAAAAATAAGATGCTACGTTACTACATTTATGCTACCCGTCCGTATCTCTACAAAAAGAGAAAATAAGTCAATTTTAAAAATTACCCTCTCATTTTTGTAGTTTGATTCTTTCTGTTTCATCAAACAAATGCCGTATTTCAGTGACTCGTGTTCACGATTCTGTGCTATTAAAAAACAAACAAACCACAGACACAAATCTATTCGTGCAGTTATTTATGTATGACATGTACTAAATATGCCAATTTCATATGACTACTTGGGAACTCTGGATACTGAGGCAGCCTTTTTAATATTTTTTCTCAGTTATAATCATTTGCCCTGTTTTCATGCCCCTTTCTCCTCTTTCTACTGCCTTGTTTGCTCTATTCGTGTTACTATTTGTTTCTTTTTCCTCTTCTCTTTTAATGATCATCAAGGCTGAACTTATGTCACCTAACATTAAAATATCGTGATGCTATCTACTTCTTGCCACCTCTGGCCAATAATTTTTTTTTGTGAGATAAGCCTAGAACAAGGAGGGTGAAAAGGAATGTCTCCCATTTCCTCTGTAGAAGTTCAGAGAAGTAGGAAGAATTTTAGTGGGATGGAGTCTCTAAAAGCTGGCAGGATATTCCTTAAACTACAAGGTGGTACTGTGGGTAAGAGTGCTGGATTTGAAGTGTCAGACTGGGTAACCCAGCACAAGTCACTTAAACTCTCAGTCTTTTCATCTATAAAATGGGGACAATAGCACCTACCTTTGCAGAATTGTTGTGAGGATCAAATGAGATACTACAAGCACAACAGGGCTTTGCAAGCCCTTAAAGTGCTAAGTGGTGTCTAAAGTAGGATCTACCTCCAGCTGACTAAATAAAGATTTATAGGAGAAGCTGAAACTCCAATGAGAAGGAGAAATTAGATTAGAATCTCAAAAAAAAACCCCCCAAAAACCAGTTCACTTTTGTGGAGTATTTCATTCCCTGATGATGTTGGAAAAACAACTACTAGAAATTCATAATTTTTGGCATCCATCACTGAACCCAGTTTGGAATTTTGCAGATTTAAACCTGAACACATTGAATTAATTGCCATACGCTAGATTATTTTTTTTCTTTTTGCTTCATTTTTTGTTCATCTCTGTTTCCACATGCATCCTTTTGCCATTAATTGGCTCTACTCTTTCCCCAGATGAAAACTCTTCTCTAATCCTAGTCATTTCTCTGATACCCACACCTGGTCTTATGGCCTAGCATGCCTTCAATGTAGTCCTAGGGAAAAGTCTGGCCTTCTCCCCATTAAAATAACCCAAGATTTAAGGTAAGAGAACAAGCATTTATTAAATGTCTACTATGTGCGAGGTTAGGGTGCACAGTGGATAGACTGCTGGGCCTAGAGTCAGAAAGACCTGAATTTAAATCTGGCCTCAGGCATTTAATAATTATGTTAACCTGGGTAAGTCATTTATCCCTGTTTGCCTCAGTGTCCTCATCTGTAAAATGAGCTGGAGAAGGAAATAGCAAGACACTCCAGCATCTTTGCCAAGAAAACTCCATAATGGCGTCATGAAGACACAGGCAAGTGTTAGACTTGACTGAAAAATGATAACAACAGCATATGCCAGGTATTGTGCTAAGAAATGTATGCCTTTTACATGATTTTCTCCTCATAGCAACCCTGTGTGTGAGGTGCTATTTTCCCCATTTTACAGTTGAAGAAACTGAGGCAAAGGAGAAGTGACTTGCTTGAGGTCACACAGACAATGTCTGAGGCCAGGTTGGAAATTAGGTCTTCCTGATTCTAGACCCAGCAATCTTACTGTGACACCTAGATGCCTTTTAAGTTTCAGAATGACTTTTTGGCATGTATTTAAATAATATTTTGCATAAAAGATGATGTTTTATGAAATATGAAAAACCAAGTCAAAAAAATTAGATATAGCTTACAATGTCATGAGTGGAAATGAAAATGTTCTTTAAATGTATTAATAAAGGAACATATTGTGCCTTTAGGAGATGGGGGGAGAGGAAGCTGGCAAAAGATAGCTTTAAAGGATTTATTTTAAACTTTTTTCATATACATTTATTTATTTTCAGTTTTCTACATTTATTTCCACAAGATTTTGGTTCCAAATTTTCACCCCATCTTGCCCCTCCCCCACCCCAAGATAGTATGCATTCTGAATACCCCTTCCCCTAGTTTGCCCTCTCTTCTATCTCTCCTCCCCTTCTCTTATTCCCTTCTCCTTCTATTTTCCTGTAGGGCAGGATAGATTTCTGTACCCCATTTCCTGTATTTCCTATTTCCCAGTTGCATGTGAAAATATTTTTTTTAAACTTGTTTTTAAAACTTTGGGTTCCAAATTTTCTCCCTCCCTCCCTCCCACCCACCCTCATTAAAAAGGCATGCAACTCAATGTAGGTTATACATGTGCAGTTATGCAAAACACTCCCATAGTAGACATCTTATGAAATCCCAACTCTATTTCCCTTAATCCTATCCTGCCTCCCCATTAATTCTATTCTTTCTTTTGACCCTGTCCCTCCTCAGAAGTATTTGCTTCTGATTACCCCCTTTCCCAATCTGCCCTCCTCTCTATCATCCCTCTGCTCTCTTGTCCCCTTCCCCCCTTATTTTCCTGTAGGGTAAGACAGATTTCCATACCCCATTGAGTGTGTATGTTATTCCCTCCTTAAGCCAAATCCTATGAGAATAAGATTCACTCATTCCCTCTCACCTTCCTCCGTTTCCCCTCCACTGTAAAAGCTTAAAAACTTTAAAAAAAAAAAAAAGTAAAACCAACTGAAATTCACAACATTAAGAACAAGGATTAAAAGACAGTAACAAGAAATAAAGCTAAGTCAGCTCTTTTTGTGGTGGCTAAGAATTGGAAATTGGTGGATGTCCATTAACTGTGGAATGGCTGAACAAGTTGTGGTATATGATTGTGATGCAATACTACTGTGCTATAAGAAAAATCGGGAAAAACTTATAAAAACTGATGCAGAGAGAAGTGAGAAGAGCCAGGAGAACATTGTATACAATAATAGCAATACTGATGATGAACAGCTATGAATGACTTAGCTATTCTCAGCAATGAACAAACCAAAACAATCCCAAAGGATTCATAATGAAAAATGTTTTCTGCTTCCAGAGAAAGAACTGCTGGAGTCTGAATGCAGTTTGAAGAATACTATTTTTCTCTTTCTTTCTTTCTTTCTTTCTTTCTTTCTTTCTTTCTTTCTTTCTTTCTTTCTTTCTTTCTTTCTTTCTTTCTTTCTTTCTTTCTCTGTCTTCCTTCCTTCCTTCCTTCCTTCCCTTCCTTCCTTCCTTCCTTCCTTCCTTCCTTCCTTCCTTCCTTCCTTCCTTCCTTCTCTCTCTCTCTTCTCTCTCTCTCTCTCTCTCTCTCTCTCTCTCTCTCTCTCTTTCTTCCTTCCTTCTCTCTCTTTCTTTCCTTTTTGTGTGTGTGACTTTTCTTGAACAAAAGGACCATTATGGAAATATTTTATATGATTTGTATGTATAAACTATATCAGATTGCTTATTGTCTCAGGGAGGGGGAAAGGGAGGGCGGGATAGAATTTGGAATTCAAAACTTAAAAAAATATTAAAATGGGTTTAAATGTAATTGAGGAAAATAAAATATTATTTTTTTAAAAAAGAAAAGCTATAGCTGTAGATGTGGATACTTCCATAGTCACTGGAAGAATTTTATTGTATGCCTCGATGAGTTGCATCCTGAATACTTAAAGAAATTCAGTCATGACACGATCACTACCCACAGTTTTAGAAAATCTCAAAAAGTTCACATGCTTGGTTATGAACCACTTGCCCTTAGACATCACTGTTGATTGCTGCCATAATTCTAGCCTAATTCTTGTGCTAATTTACTTGACCTCTGATTTATAACCAATGAAATCTGTATCCTGCCCTTGTCTACAAGCAATAAGAAACTTGATTATTGAAATAATAAACACTTAATATGTACCTGAAACATGATATTTGAGGGTTTCATACTTTTCAGTATTTTCTTCATATTCATCCGTGATCGCTTTCACTTGGGGAACGTATGTTTCCAATTCATCTTCCTTTTCTTTGGTCTTTTCAATATGCACAGTATAGTCTTCCTTTAAAAAATGGTTGTGAGATATGATTTTGGTCAAGTCACTTACCTCTCTGATTATACATTTCCTCAATTGTAAAATGAAGAGGTTAGTCTAGGTGGTAGTCAATAAAGTTGGGCAATAGGGCATTGAACTTCAGAAAGACAAAAAAATCAATCATACATTAGTTTAAAATTTGCTATTTAAAATGTTTTAAATATTCAGATTCATATGGCATATTTAAATGACTAACCTGAAAATTAATGGCTTTTCAGCTTTTAAAAATGACCACCTTGTAAACAAGTTGTGATAGATGGTTGTGATGGAATACCACTATGCTGTGAGAAATGATGGGCTGGTTTATTGTTAAAAACCATGGAAAGACTTGCATGAAATCATGAAAAGTGAATTAGCAAAACCAAGAGAACATTCTATACAGTAGCAGCAATATTGTTCAAAGAATAATTGTGAATGACCAAGTTATTCTGAGTATATAAATACTCAAAGCAACTACAAAGGATCTATAAAGGAAAATGCTATTGACCTCTAGGGAAAGAACTGATAAATAGAAGTATGCATAGTATGGTTTTACATACATTTATAAATGTGTCAAATGGTGGTGTCTATTACAGGGTGGAGAGGGAGGAAGACAGGAACTTAAAATGTCACACACACAAAAATAAAATTTAGTAAATGACCACCTTTCAATATTTAAATTATCAGTGAATTTCAAAGAACAGGTAGTAAAACAGGATACAGAGAAATCCTAATAATGTGAACTCAAATGAAAAATAGAAAAGTGAAAAATTAGATAGAACTAATATGCTGGTAAATGCTTAACAATTGGCTCTCCAAAATAATATACATGATATACTTAAAAAAAATTTTATTGATGTCTTCTATTTTTATACCATCAAAGTTTTCACCAGCATACGTCCTCAACTCCCTCTCAGAGAGCCACCTCGTCCATAAAACAAATACTATTTTTAAAGACAAAAATAAAGGAAAGAAAAAAGAAGAGGAAAAATCAGCACAAATGGTTATACATTGAAAACATGTACTATGGACTTCCACCTCCATGAAGGGGTGGGTTGGAATTGTTTTCTTGTATTTCGTTATTCGAGACCTGCTGGATCCTGTAATTTTGTTATATTTCCTTTTGATTTTGGTGGGGTGTCATTCTTTCCATTTACATTATTGTAGTTGCTGTATATATTATTTTCTTGGCTCTGCTTACTTCACTTTGCATCAGTTCATGTAGATCTTTCCATGCTTTTTTGTATTCATTGTATCACATCTTATAATACAGTAATATTTCATTATATTCATGTACCACAATTTATTTAGCCATTCCTCAATCAATAGGCATCTACTTTGTTTCCAGTTCTTTGCTATCACAAAAAGTGCTGCTATAAATATTTTGGTTTATGTGGAGACTTTCTTCTCATTGGTGGCTTTCTTGGGGTATAAGCCCAGTAATGGAATCTTGGATTCAAAGAATATGGACATTTTAGTCACTTCATTTGTATAATTCCAAATTGCTTTCTAAAATGATAGTACCATTTCATAGCTCCGCACAATGTATCAGTGTGCTTATTATTCCATGACCCCTCCAACATTGACCACAAATTGTCATTTTCTGTCATGGTTTTCAATTTGCAGGGTATGAGGTAGAATGTCAGAGCTGTTTGATTTGCCTTTCTCTTATTATTTAGTAGTTATTTGGAGCATTTTTTCATGTGGTTGTGAATATTTTGCAATTCTTTTGAGGCTCTTTTGTTCAAATCCTTTGACCACTTATTTAAAGGGGAATGGTTATTAGAGATTCCCCTTTTCCATTATGCCTCAGTCCCAGAACAATGCCAATTCCTTTTTTTTTTTTTTTGGTGAGGCATTTGGGGCTAAGTGACTTGCCCAGAGTCACACAGCTAGTAAGTGTTGTGTGTCTGAGGCCGGATTTGAACTCAGGTCCTCTTGACTTCAGGGCCAGTGCTCTATCCACTGTGCCACCTAGCTGCCCCAACTGTGCCAATTCTTGCAGGTGACAGAGGACACTACCCCATGGCAGGACCCCACCCCCTTCCAGTCTCCCTGACTATGCAGCCCCTTTCTAACTGGTATCCCTCCCTGTGGTCAACTTCCTTTCTTATTTGCCTCAAAAATCTCCTCCCTGGGTCCATATCTTCCCACTCCCCCAGATGCCAGTTGTCCCCAAAAGTTCTGACTCCCCACCCCCTGAGGTAGGATTTCAAGTAGTCTTTGCAAATACCAAATCCCCATAGACAACAACTAGCATATGTTCCCCATTTCCCCTCACAGAAGATTCCCTTCATCTATTTGAGCATTCTTCAGTAGAATCTCCTTCCCACCACCAAAACAAAGCCTCCTTTTTTTTTTTTAAAGGCAATTGGGGTTAAGTGACTTGCCCAGGGTCACACAGCTAGTAAGTGTCAAGTGTTTGCTCTGAGGCCATATTTGAACTCAGGTCCTCCTGACTTCAGGACCAATGCTCTATCCACTGCACCACCTAGCTGCCCCTAAAAGCTCCTTTTTTCCCTCCTCTTTCTAACTCTTAGCCCCTGTTCTCCAGCCACTTCCCTGTAGGGTTTTCTCTTCCTAGAAGACCACAGGGATCATCTTCCCCTCAAACCCCCTTGATTTGACCTGGGCATAGCACACATTCCTCCATTCTCTTCTTCACGCACCCTCCCATTTTGTGATGTAGTTCTACAAAAGACACCTATAGGCAGAGTGTAGCAAAGTTCTATCCATAACACCCCAGGCAGCCCCACCTTTCTACCTTTATCTCTCTCCATTTAACCTCTGCCTTCACTCCTTGTATATACTTAGAAAGAAGAATCTTGCTGGTCTCTCTTCTCTCACTGTTGTGATTACTGTCCTTAGCTGAGGCATTCATTCATCCCTCCATTTCTGTTGTCTGGGGTTCTAGAGAAGCAAATAATCTCTTCAAGTTTTGTTTTCTTTCTAAAAATGTTTAGAATGTCTCTCCATTATCAAACATTCATCTTTTTTCATTTATGATTACCCCCAGATTTGTAGAATAGGTCATCTTGGCCTGCTTTCTGAGCTCCATCACTCTTTGGAATACATTATTCTATTTCCTTTTGCACTTTCTAGTAGGTGAAGTCCTATATTATTAGAATTTCCTTTCTTTTGTATTTGAAGGTCTTTCTCCTAGTCACTTGCAAAATTTGTTACATTTGTAGAATTGTTCAATTTAACCAATATGATGGTTGGAATTTGGAGTTTTCAGCCTTGGGCTTTTCTCTAGAGGCAACCTTTGCATTCTTACAATTGGTATTTCCTTTTCTGTGTTCAGAAGTTCTGGACAATTTTCTTGTATTATTTCTTGCATTATAGTATGCAAGTTTTTTGACTTGTCATGTTCTTCTGGGTGATTTATAATCCTTAGGTTGTTTCTGCAGATCTTGTCGTCAAGATCAGTATTTTTTGCTTGAGCATGTTTTCTTTTAACGTTACTGCTTTTTGACCTATCAGTTGTCCTTTTTTTTAAAATTTCTTTGGTGAGACTTGCCATCACAGATTCAAGTTTTTCTATGCTACCAATTATTTCTGCTGTAAAGGTCATATATTCTGTCCTTGTGATTTCCATTTTTCTTTTAATCTACTAGGGACCAACATCTTGCAGTGTCATGTTTGCTTCAAAATCCACAAATTCCTCAAATTCTCCTCAAATTAGAAATCCTCTATCTCCTAAAGTGTTGAATCATTTTCTTTTGTTTTGCAGTATTTATTCATAGAGACCTGAACTTATTTACTAGACCTGGAAGCCATATTTCCTTCTGCTATTAATATTTTCCCTGTGGATTTATCTGTTCGTGATTGAAGTCTTTAAGCTTTCTTCCTCCTGAGATCTTTGGTAACTCCACTCTTTTCCTCTATTACTCATCTTTTGATTCTCTCTCTTTTGAGGGTGGTTCCCTGGGGACTGGATCTCAAAGCATCTCAGCCTTCTCCCACATTAGGCAATTCATGGTTCACCAGCCCAGGTCTCTGCCCTAAGTGGCTCTTTGGGAGACAGAATTGGACACAGCTGAATGCCGGGCTCTTTCCCTCAAGCTTATTGGAATGTTGCACAATCCCCTGCATAGAGTGCCTTGCGCCTTTTCCTCTCTTTCTCAGTTCCCTGGCCTCGCACATTAAAATGCTACCATACCGGTGCTATTGCAGACACTGGTTGATTGATATCATTTAGAGTTTGGCTCTCTGAGGCTCTCGAACAAAGTGGAAGCATGAGGGAGAATGTCAGTGTGTAGCGCAAGCCTGCACAACATGCAGCCCGCGGGCCGCACCAAAGAATTTCAGGTGGCTTGTAAAAAACGTAAGGTTGCCATTACATACTCTCCTGTTTGTCACATGACCCACAGCAACCAACCATCGTCAGTCTGATTCTAGTCTAACCTATCCGCTGCCCGAAGAAATTTACAAGTTGTTGAGTTCTGGTGTAGAGTCCATGTCAAGCTCAGACACACATCCTGCCTCTTTGCTTCTGTTCCTCCACTCACCTGCAGAGATCTTTTGTTGCACAGAATGCTGGCCACTGAGGCGCCAGTAAACTTCTGCAGCCTGGATCTCCACAACACTGGAAAGAGGCAGGGGGAGTAGGTGTAGGATTGGGTTTTGTGGCAAGCCCATGGATCAGATGGGCTAGTGCCACTTTACTACCAGTAATGTGGTGGGCATGTGGGAAGCAGTGTTGACTTAGCTCAAGTATCAGTTCATGTTCTTTTCCTTTTTTTCTTTTCTTTTCTTTCCTCCTTCTTCCTTTTTCTTCTTCTCTCCCTCCCTCCCTCCCTCTCTCTCTCTCTCTCTGTCTCTTTCTCTCTCTCTCTTCTCTCTCTCTCTCTCTCTCTCTCTCTCTCTCTCTCTCTCTCTCTCTCTCTCTCTGTCTCTCTCTCTCTGTCTCTCTCCAATTCCTGGTGGCCTAGATCAGTGGTGTCAAACTCAAATAGAAATGAGGGTCACCAAACCCTATACTAAGCATTCCTATGGGCCACATGTTGACTCAGAAACCACATATTAACATTGTCTATGTTCTATTGTATTTTTGTTCATTCTGTTAAATATTTCCTCATTATATTTTAATCTGCTCAGCTGCACTCAGGAATGGGCTTTGAGTTTGACACCTCTAATCCAGACAACAATTAAAACAATAAATCTAGCTCTTATTTATAGCTTTTGCCAATGTCCAATTCTTTTTAGCACATAAAATATTTCTATGCAGAGTGGGTAATTGACAAGATATAAAATGATATTTAAAATTAGAAAAAAATTCAATAAAGGTCATCTATTGTAATGGGCATGATAGAAAAATGTCTGATGAATCTAAAAGATCATCAAGGATAGTTGTTGAATTGAGGAATGTTAAATGATCTCAACATGTGCATGAAGACATCTAACGAGGGAAGCATTTTAAGGCTGTTTGTTTTATTTTTTTTACTGAATCAGATGCTTTTTTAAATAATTATTTACAAGTTAATTCAGTGGACTCTTGTATGTGTTGTACCTTTTTGTCAGTTGTATGAGTGTGAAGACTTGGACCACTGCAGAATGCCATTTGAGACAACATGGCTGATTTAATATTTTCATCAAGAATATTCTTGACAGAGATTTTATAGGGAGGAGAAAGGTGTGTGAGCTAGTAATTGTTGACATCTTTTTGAATATCTGATAAAGGTAACATTAGGGGAACATATTTTAAGTTTTTTTTTTCATTTAAAATGACATTTACCTCCATTACTTTTAATTTTTCAGTTGCATCTTGCTCGATTTGTAAAAATATTTCCTCTTCTTCTTTTAATTCTTCAGAAAGTTCTTCTATCTTTTCTTCATGTTCAATGATCTTTTCATCACAAGTAAAACTCTAGTTATTGAAATAAATTTAAAAAAAGAGATCTATAATTCTCACCTAGTAGCCAGGTTCACACTTTCCAAAAGAGCACAAATGTGTTTCCTGGAATGAACTTCTCCTTTCTATTATCATCAATAAACTAATCATTTATTAAGCACTTACTACATGTTAGGCACTTTGTTAGGGGCTTAGGATACAAAGACAAATATGCAATATTCCTTACACTTAGCAACTTACATATAAATATAAGTATATAAAATAAATACATAAAATTGGTGCAAGGTGGGTTTTTTTGAGTAGATACAAAAGGGAGGAGGCACTGAAAGTGGGACAATTAGGAAAGATCGTCTCATGAAGGAGATGATATTTGAGATAAACTTTTAGAGGAACTAGGACTTCTAAGAGGTGGAGGTGAAGAGTGAGCACTTTCTAGATTTGGGGAAGGACAGCCTTTTCAAAGGCACAGAGATAGGAAATGTAATATACTGTTTGTCTACCATAGGTTCCCAGAGTGGGTGATACAGCCTCTTGAGGGGCACTTGAATGATCTACAGGGTGGTAGTAGCCTCGGGTGCAATTAGGGGGTGTTATATAAGGGGGCAGTGGAAGCATAAAGAAAGAAGAAAATTTTGAAAAAACCATACATATTTCATCTGTTGTGTAACAGAGTTAAAGTTGTAATGATTACATTATTTTCCAAATAAATACATAAAATGCAAATTATAACTGATCAGTGTCAAGTCTGCCAACAGGTCTTCTTTTAAAAAAATAATTAATTTTTAGTTTTCAACATTCACTTCCATAAGATTTTGAGTTTTAAGTGTTCTCCCCCTCCTTCTCCTCCCCCCTCCACATGACAGTGTGCAATCTGATATAGTCTCTACTTATAAATTAATATTAAACATATTTTCACATTAGTCATGACATAAAGAAGAACGAGAACTAATGGGAGGAACCACAAAAAAGAAGAAATGAACAAAACAACAAAGGAAAAGGAGAGCAAATAGTATGCTTCTCTTTGCATTCAGACTCCTCAGTTCTTTCTCTGGATGTGGATAGCATTTTCCATCATGAGTCTTTTGGAGTTGTCTTAGATCCTTTCATTGCTGAGAAGAGCTAAGTCTGTCACAGTCAGTCGTCGCACAATGTGGCTGTTACTATGTACAGTGTTCTCCTGGTTCTGCTCATTTCACTCTGCATCAGTTATTGTAAATCTTTCCAGGTTTTTCTGAAGTCAACCTGCCCCTATTTCTTATAGCACAATAATTGCCAACAGGTCTTAACAAGCAAGTGTTGGAAGGTGAGCATGTGTGGCGCACTGTCACGAAGTCCAGCATGCATCATCAGGAATATGTGTGTGTAATGACTTGTTTATAATATGATACTATATGGTTACATGAGGCAATACTGTGTCATCAAAATTTCAATGCAGAAAAAACCTCCACAAATTTACAACAAATTATTAAATTTAAGATGCATCATTTAAATAAATTATATATTTTTTAAATGATGCAATTTTTTTAAAAAAAAAACTGTTAAAGGGTCAAAGAAAGTAAAATTTCCAGGGGTGGGGGTGTTGAGTAATTTTTTTTAAAAAGGGGGGTAGGGTGGAGTTGTGATATGATCCAACCATTTTGGAGAGCAATTTGGAACTATGCCCAAAGGGCTATATAATTGTGCATACCCTTTGACCCAGCAATACCACTTCTAGGTCTGTATCCCAAACACATCATAAAAACAGGAAAAGGACCCAAATGTACAAAAATATTTATAGCAGCTCTTTTTGTGATGGCAAAGAATTATAAATTGAGGGGATGTCCATCAATTGGCGAATGGCTGAGCAAGTTGTGGTGTATGAATGTAGTGGAATACTATTGTGCTACAAGAAATGATGAGCAGGCTGACTTCAGAAAAACCTGGAAAGACCTGTATGGAACTGATGCTGAGTGAAGTGAGCAGAACCAGGAGAACATTGTATACAGTAACAGCCACACTGACTGACTCTGGTAGACTTAGCTCTTCTCAGCCATGCAAGGATCTAAGACAACTCAAAAAAACTCATGATGGAAAATGCTATCCACATCCAGAGAAAGAACTTGAGAGTCTGAATGCAGATGGAAGCAGACTATTTGCTCTCCTTTTCCTTTGTTGTTTTGTTTTATTGCTTCATTCTCGTGGTTCCCCTCATTAGTTCTAATTATTCTTTACATCATGACTAAAGGAAAATACGGTTAACATAAATGTATACATACAGCCTATATCAGATTGTACACTGTCTTGGGCAGGGGGAGAAGTGAGAAGGGGAAAAATGTAAAACTCAACATCTTATGGAAGTGAATGTTGAAAACTAAAAATAAATTAATTTTTTAAAAAAGGGGGGTGGTAGGCCAAATAAATTTCGAACCTCTGGCTAGCCTAACAAATAAGAGGGCACAGACTCAGGCAAAAGCATTGCCCTGGATCCCACCTCCTTGGTAACTGCCTCTTTCCAAGCTTCTGCTTTCCCTTTTCCATGTTGCCTGTCTGAGCCCATTGAAACTGGACTCATTCCCTCTGTGGTTTCCTATGCAGAGAGGAATAGCATATAATGAACTCAAAGGTAGGCTGGAGGCTTTAAGGGCTTTAAATGCCAAAAGGGGGATTTTATTTGATACTGCAGTTAATGGGGAGGCCTTAGAGCACATTAAGCAGAAGAATGACATGGTTCAAGATGTGCTTCAGGATGATCTCACTGGCTATTATGCGAAAATAGATTGGAAAAAGTAGACACTTGAATAAAGGCAAACAATTAGATTATTGCACCAGTCCTAGTGAGAAGTCATAATGACAACCTACACTAAGGTGGTGGTCGTGTGAATGGAGAGAAGGGGACAGATGTGAGACATGTTGTGTCAATCGAGTCAAAATGGCTGGGAGACTGATTGATAAAATATAAAGCCATACTTGAAATTAGCAAAAAAAAAATCCCTGAATATTTCCCATTTGGCTCTCTGGAGCCAGTCAGCTCCCAGGTAGAACTGAACATGAGGCTGTCATAAAAATATTTTGAATGAATGTGGAATGTGTGAGGAGTCAAGATTGTGAACCTGGGTGAATGAAAGGGTGGTGTTGCTTTCAATAGAAATAAGGGTATTCAGAAGAATAATATTTGTCTACAGTAAACCTATCATGTGTATTATATGTGTACTCAGCAATGAGTAGGTAGGGATTTTTCTTCTAAGACTGTTGTTACAGAAGTAGCTAGAGTGCTGGACTTGGGGTAAGGAAGACCCAAGCTCAAATCCTGCCTCACATACTTACTGTGGTGATCCAGGGTAAGTAACTTAACCTCTATTTCCCTCAGTTTCATCATCTGTAGAATGGGGGTGATAATAATAGCATCTATGTATACACCTACAATAACACCTCACAGATGTTGTGAGGGTAAAATGAGGTAAGATTTGTAAAGCATTTTTGTAAACCTTAATGTACTGTAGAAATGCTAACTACTATTTATATTATTATTGCTATAGAACAAACTTTGGAGCCATCCAGGGAATCTAGATAAATAATTTTTCTTCCTCAAATTCTTAAAGATATTTTCCTTCAGAGATTGCCACTGCTGAAAACCCCAGATGATTTTCCAATCAAGTGTTTCAAAGATACATGAACATACAACCATATTCTTTATCTTTTGGTAAATGTCCATTGCAGAGATACAGTAAATAGATGATTTTCTTAAGAAAATGAAATTATCTACTCTAAAGCATGAGATTGATTAATAGAAAAATATAGTTTTAAAAAGACAAATAATTATCCTACTTGTTTAACTGGTCAACAAGGAATTTTTTGAAAGGATGTCTGATTTTCCTAAAATTTCCATTTGTATTTTTTTAAAAAGTTCCCCCACCTCTTCAAATACTTCGACTCTCTTCTTTTCAACATGGTCAATTTTTTTGATGAGTTCTTGGATGCTGTTCTTTTCTGTTTTCATCCAGATCTGATGCTGTTTTTGAAGGTGGACTATTTTCCATTGATCTATAACGCTGGAAGCGAGCACGTATAGAATGATGGTTAAATGGACACTTTCATTTTAAAAGAAAAAAATGCAAAACAAAGATACTTGCTTAATGACTCACAGCACTACAATGCTACAAAAATAATTCAGGGTGCTGATTTTTGCTCTTACTGACACACACACTCTTCAGAAAATAGCAGTCACCAAAAAAAAAAAGGTAGTACAAGGTGCTATGTGAGAAGAAATTCCTCAAAAATTCCCATTTAATTTCTTATGCCAACCTCTGATATGTTGAAACTGTGGTGGAGGAAAGTCACAATGTGGAAGGGATACCTGCATGTAGTGGACATATGCATTGGTATGCGATCTTTTGATTTTTTAGACTCTATTTTGTGGCCTGGGGTCCATCTTGTGACTGACTTGTGCTGCAGTTTGATATGGAAACTTACTAGTTGTCTTGCTGACCACCCCTTCTTCCCTCCTCCCACCAATGTATTGGCCTTCCCTGACTGTGAATTCTGATAACCTACCCTGTTTCTTGGCATAATGCTGTCATCATGGAGATGGCTAAGATTGGACTGTCACTTACTCTGCACCTGGAGATAAGTCCCATCACTGTGTAGATGGGGACAGAGATATCTATGAAGAACTGTCTAACCCGCTCCCCCACAAATCCTTAGTCAGTGGATCAGTCATTACTGGTCCCTTGAGAGCATGAGTGTCTGCTACCCTCAGCTGATGCCCAGGGATCAGTTTTTCCCTCTCACATCTAATTCCTGAGTGGGATTTCCTTCTATACATCCCCAACCCCTCACTCCAGCTCCTCTAGGCAGTTTTCTCCTTTCTCCCTTCCCTATTCCTTTTTATAGATTTCACTGCCTACACTTCCAGCTTCTGTACCTTATTCACAT